ACATAATGAGGGGGATGTGCACCAACTGGGGGGTGGACATGCTTGAAGCTCTGACTTCAGGGGGGAAGAGGGGCAAGGGCAATATATGTAACCTTAACATTTGTACCCCCACAATCTTCTGAAATAAATAAATAAATAGAAGGTAGACAAAAAAGATCTTGTAAAAGATCACATAGTAGGGCACTAAAAAACCGTTTTCTCCTTTATCTTAAAGTATGATATTAAAGTAAAATATATCAGGTTCTTAATTTCCTTCATAGGGAATATTCTTTTATATTATGGCAGAATTCTTCTGTAAATCAAATCTAAGGTCACTTCTCAGATACAAGTAACAGAATTTAGTTGGTCTTTGTTATATGTGGACTGTACATCTACTGTGACTTTCTCTGTTAGGCAGTTATGATGTTGAGACAAAAGTTTTCCGGGCAGCTTTATTGAGGAGTCCTACAGACTTGACCTAAGGCAGGAAACTTTCTCTGATAAGGTAAACCTTCCTGTTTATGCTCTAAGGGGTAAAACTCTGGGATCTCAGTGGGGAATGATCTGAATGCTGGAGTGAAACAAGAATAAGCAAGACTAATGGTGAAGAGCCTCAACTCTTACAATAAATAACCAAAACCAAACAAATAGGAATATATTCACCTTAGGCAGGGTTTTGGCAGGTTTGCAATGGAGTCCTCCAACGAATTCAATATTTGGCAAGAGTGGGCGAGGAAATTCCAAATCCCAATAGGTTCGAATAAGCCAGATATCAGCTTTCTTCATTGTCTCATATAATGTAGTGGGTCTGCCTGAAGGGGAGACAGAAAAGAAAACATAGATGACACAAGAGAGTTGTCTTGAGAATATAAAAGTAATTTCCTGAAAGGAGTTGTAATAATGTAGCCAAAGACATATAAAGTGTTTGTGTTTTGATAAAACATATACACATATTGATATACTGGCATGATTTAATTCCCATATACTCTATATGTTGCTCATAGGTTTGTATAAGAAAAGCAAAGTGCTAAGAGAATTTTTAGAGGAGACTATATGTCACATCACATCAGCATATTCACAATCATCAGTATATATTAACAGAAGCCACTGTGGAATTCCCCATGCAATTGCTTATTTTCTAAAGCTGCAATAGGAAAAATTATACATGTAAAAAACTCTTTGAGCTCCATTATGAATTATTCCTGTGAAACTGATAAAAAGTTCCTTCTAAAAAGTACTCAATTTTGTTTCTTCTAGTTATGAAGCTAGTATCATGATCCTTGGTTCGCCAATTATATCAAGAGTTTTTGTGAAAATATGGTTGAAATCCTCGTTCCTATTACTACTTTTGGTTCATGTGAAGATCTTAATAATATTAGTATTTTAAAAATAAATATACTTGGAAATGACAGGGGGAAATTTTCAAAAGTTATAGAAATGAATAATTTTTGCTCCCCCTTCATTTAGCTCATATTTTTCATAATGTAGAGGTATATTTTAATAAAATACAGATTAAAACTTGGATGTTCACATCCCCATAAGATTTTAACCTTAAAATAAATAATCTCCACGTCCTTAGTGAAAGAATGCAGAAATATTAGAGACCTCAAATTTTAGGTATCTGTGTCTGAGACAGCCATCTCTTAGCTGTGAAGGAATTCTTCTGATATAGCAAAAGATATTTTAATTTCTAAATAAGGAAAATAAGGTATACAAGGAGAAATGGTTTCCTCAATGCTACATTGGTAGTTGTGCCAGAACAACGTGTGATTCCTCAGTCTACATGTCTGCTTTCATCAAGATGTTTCTAGGTGTGTCTATTAACTTTTATTAAAGATGAGAAAAATGGATAGAACAATGGATATGGTATTGTTTGAAGAAATGTTGAATGGTTTAATTTGCACATTGATGACCATATGGAGTGGGCTGTAGGAGTGATGGCCACAAGGTTCTAAGTGATCCCATAATCTTTCCATAATGTTTGTGTGATTGATAGATCATCTTATAATTTCCATTAATTGTTTCAAGTATAAAACATACAGTCCTCTGACTTCATATTCATACAAGCTCACCTTCCAATTCACAAGGAAAGA